CTTTATTATTATTATTATTTCCATACATTCAGTGTGTTTTATGAGAATCAAACCAGTGGAACTCCGGTTCCCAAGCTAAGTCCCTACAGCCTGAATTACTGCACCCAAAATACATAGCAATAACAAATCTCACACGGACACTTTGTCAATATGTATGAGGGTGCAGGAATCTGGCCTGAGACGGACAGCTGGACAGTTACCTGGGACCAGGACGTGGTGAACCACTTGGAGCAGGGTCTCTGGAAGCAGGAGGAGCTGCTCTCTGGTCTGCTGCCCTGCTCACAGCTGCTGTCTGGAGACTCTTTGAACACACCGGCCTCCAGCCCGGCACACACCACCTGCCGCTGCCGCACCCCGCGCCCACATGTAGCATTACACTGACACACACAGAAAATCTTTTGCTGATTAAATTACTTTTCATTTAGCTGACACTTTTATCCAAAGCTAATTACAATGGATACGATAAAGGACAAGCATAACAAACTCAGAACAGCAAGATAAACGCAAATAGATTAATTTCATATGACCTTAATCTTTTCAAAACAACATTTTCTTTTTTTTGATGAAGTTGCAGTGGAAACAGGTTTACGGAATTGTGTACCTGTTGCCATTCTTGTTCCACCCAGTGGGGGGCGCAGTCTCTGTCTCCACAGGGATAGATGGCCAGCGGGCGCAGTGATTGGTCACACTGCTCCTCTGTCATCACCACCCCCTCCGATGATCGACACGTCACCGCACGCACCATCCTCCCCTCGCCACACACACCGGAGCACTGGCACAGTGACACACCATTTTGATCAAACATTTGTAACGTGCACTTAATATTAAAGGAGAGTGTGTGGCGTGTGTGTGTTCAGTGTGAGTGTGTTGTTAAACTCACAGGCCCCCAGTCAGAGAAAGTCCATCTTCTGTCGCAGGGCGGAGCTTCACATTCCTCACTTTCTATTGGCTGAGAGGACTTGTTACACAGTCTCATCTCCATGGAGCAGCGCACCTCCCGAGTGCGAACGGCCCGAGAGCCACAGCGCGCCGAGCACTAACACACACACACACACACACACACACACACACACACACACACACACACACACACACACACACACACACACACATATACAGTATGAAGAACACACAGGTGCAGAGATCAATACTGCTAAGTCCCTCAGCTGTCTGCATTATGTTACAGCAGTCTAAACTCAGCATTCAATCTTCAGCAGCTGTCTGTTAATTATAGCACTGCACCGACTCTTAGTGTGATAGTCGCAGCGTTTATAAGCGTTCAGGATGCTAACAGAGATGGATACATGCAGAATACTATTGCTAAAATATTGTAGTTTAGTGAAGGTTTGAAAGCAGCACAGGGTGAGGCTGCCTCCCTGTGTGGAGATCCTGTAGAGCCTGTGTGCAAACATTTGAGCTGTATTTGGCTCTCCCAACGACTTAAGATTAATAAATGGATGGATGCCCTGATTATAATGTTGTTCTTTTAATTGTAGGTCTTAGATTTCAAGATTTGTTTTGGGCTACCAGTGGCTTTCTTTGAGAGACATAGTTGAAAGAGAGAGACAGGGGAAGAGGCGTGTCATTGGTCCCCGGCGGCACTGAACCTGATCCAGCTACATGGGCTGCCTCCTCTACTAAGTGAGCTATACGGCGGCCCAACAATATCTCCCTTTGTGTCAGGCACTCTGACTTCTTATGTTTATATCATATTTTATTATTTTTATGATTTACTAAACATTTGACTTTACTTATTTTATCTTTAATAGCACATTCTTACTTCTTATGTTTATATGTTTTAGCAGCAACAGGATTAAGGTAGAAACATTTAAAAACCTTTTTGTTATTTGAATCTATACTGTCTCTTGATTTTGATTTGTTATTCTAATTGTCCTTGTGTGAACTCCGACCTGTCCTATGCTGTGTTTGTATCTTCTGTATTTCTGATCCTGATAGAAGACACCATAGTTCATAATGGTATCAGTGGCTGGGGATGTTACCTCTGACCACTCGGACACCTCCCACTGGGGGCCGCAGCTCTGGCCGTGGCAGACCTTTCTATTGGCCGGTTTGTGAAGGTCATGTGTCAAACACAGGGAGTCGTAGACTGACGAGTCGAGTCCAGGCGACAGCATCTTCCAGCAGCGCACCGTACGATACTGAACGCCCTCCCCACACGTCCGGGAGCACTCACTCCACCCACTGGTCTCCCACCTGAGGGGAGGGGAGGGGGACAGGTCAGGTCTGCTGTTTAACACAGTGAATAAAACCACATCAAGAGAGGTCCTTGCTAATTCAGCTAACACTGATTGTGTGTGATATCCTTGTTTGATTCTTTAAGGACATTTGTAAGCAACAATGTGTAGAATGCCAGCTAAATGACTAGTCTACATACAGTATGTTATATAGGGTCAGATCCCTGTCCTAATCAATATATTAACGTAATGTAAAAAATCCAAATAGGCTTGTTGTATAAAATGAATGGATGCCTGTCTTCTATTAAGCGTCAAACTATTTTGCAGTATTCCTCCATGTCTGTGCTGTTGTGAATTGTCGGGGGGAACACTGTGTGTCATGGAGCATTACACTTGATCAATAATGATATATTTTGGACCCATCATTGTCCTCTGTATCAAACCTTATTACAGACAAGGAGTAAAACACATTGGTTTAAGTCTTACTTATCGAACAGAAAACAGTGTGTTTTGGTCAACGGTGCCAAATCCCCCTACCTTGTCAACCCTGTTGGGGTTCCACAAGGTTCCATTCTTGGACCGTTACTGTTTTCACTGTACATAAATGACTTGCCCAATGTATGTCCTGAGTTGAATGTGCAAATATATGCCGATGATGCGGTCATCTTTGTACACGGGAAGAACACTGAAATGATCTCATGTTGTCTCTCAAATGCTTTGGACAAGATTCAACACTGGCTGAACAACATATGCTTACAGTTAAACGTAAAACAAACAGTATGCATGATGTTCAGTAAACGACCAGTCAAAATAGAAGGATCCAACGTGTTTTTAAACGGAGCAGAAATAGAACTAGTCTCCCAGTTCATGTATCTTGGAGTCATATTGGACTCAAACTTGACTTTTAAGAAACATATTAAGAAAGTATCAAATACCATTAAATTCAACTTGCAACATTTTAAACAAATTAGAGCTTTCTTAACTGTCAATGCTGCAAAGTCATACCTCCACTGTATGATTATATCCCACATTGAATACTGTTTTACAAACTGGTCGTTTGCTTGTGCCACAAACCTGAAACCGATAGAACAGCTGTACGAGAGAGCTATCAAGGTGTTTGACAGAAAGCCTTACTCATCCTTGAAAAACACAATTTCTTAAGTTTTGACAATTTGAAGTCTTTTAAAAGTACGTGTTTTTTTATAAATGTTTACATGGACTGGCCCCCCCTCCCTTAGGGGAATTCATCCACAAAAAACACACTGGATGCTGCACTCGGTCAGAAACCAGAGGAGACTGGTGGACAAACTGTCCTCTCCATTAAAGGCAGCTCTTTGTGGAATAGCCTCCCAACTGAGATACGGGATTGTCCCACTCTCAATAGCTTCAAAGGTCAACTCAAAGAATGGTTGAGAAACAACCATACGTGCAATCACCGCTAAATGCACTTTAATGCAGGGGTATCTCCTCTTGCACTTTATGTAGCTCTTGCATCTTCTCTGGCACTTTATATGTCGTTGCTGCTATATTCTATTGCCATGGCATAAATACTTTGTTTATGCTGCTCTTGCTCTTTTGCACTTTTTGCATATCATGTATTTTGTTTTTGCTATGTTTGTCAAATGTAATTTTCTTAAATGTTTTATGTGAGGGACTGCGGATGGAAATGAGCTCAAAGGTAAATCTGGCACTGTTACGCTTGACCATTTGTTTATGTTTTAAGTGTTCATCATTGTTCCTGCCAAATAAACGATTCAATAAATAAATAGCCATGTCATTTTATTGTTTTATAAATCTCCAAACTATCCCACATTGTATCTATATTTTGAATCTAGTAGCTACATTACATCATCCAGTAACAAGTAACACATGAACACGATCTAATGTTTTGTACTCGCTTGTGATAGTTATCGTGTATAAATGTTGTTTCTGTTCTTGCAAATGTTTCTTTTTCTTTTATCATGCTCAACAAAATTGATATCTAAATCAGACTACTTGAATAAATCAAGATGACATAAAGAAAGTAGATAACGTCTCCAGGTCTAAGGACAGACAGACAGACGTACCTTGGAGGACACTCCTTCCCAGTGCAGAACTCATGTGTTGGCTCAGGTCTGGTCAGAGAGTCACAGTAAGTGTCGTCCACCTCGCTGCCGTCATACCGCACACACAGGGCATAACTGGTGGTGATACCTACAAATATACACACACAGACTGTTTACACATTCAAGGAGCTTCACTGTTTACATGTACTTTATCTATAGCTGATTCAACTAAAGCTTAGTAAAACATTTGAGTAGAAACCCAAAATATTATTATTAACCATAAGCAGAATCTGTCTATACATCTGTTTATAAAGTGCTTTTCACAGACAAAGTCACAAAGGGCTTGACAAAACATTAAAACATCATAGGAATCATAAAACAATAAATGACCACAAACGCCACGTGTTAAGAAGTGCTAAAAACACAAAACACAATAAAAACATAGGATAAAATACAATCAAATAAAAGCACACAGATGACATTAGTCATCCCTTTCACTGCAGAGAGTAATGCAGTGTGAAGTGTTGCCATGGTTACCTGTAAACTAAATGATCATGTATTAAGAATAATGTTTAAACTGGGCTCTGTCTCTGTTTTCTGATGTGCAATATAAAACATCCAGTCCATCCGATCACATACTGATATTTTCTTTAACTAAGCTTTTGAATGTGCATTATCAAAACACAGAATAAGTGTGTGTAGTTACATGTTGTGTGTGTGTGTACCTGTTGTGCAGGTGGAGCTGCAGGGAGCGTACGCAGAAACCTTCCAGCGGTACATGTCCGCCAGACTGATGTCGGGCTCCAGACCCACATCAAAGTCATTACTGCAGGGACACAGACAGGCACATCTTTCACATTTCCACTTGATTCAATCCAAATGATCATGCTGTGAGTTCATTCAGTTATGTAACAGTGAGGGAAACAACTGGAGCATAAGTAGGCTCACACTATTGGGAACAAAGAAGTAATTGCAATTATTTTGAGGTAGAATATGATTTGTGGGCCAGTATATCTCTGCAGCTCCACGAAATTCAAATACAAATTGTATATACACATATACAGCCTTTAAAACATATTGTGTGTCCTGCAATTTGAACATTGCACCAGGACATATACTCATTTCTATTATGCCAATTACTTCTGAAACCCTGCAGGCAAACTTGTACAACAGCCACTAAGATACAAGATCATAGCAGGACTGATCTTAACGACTTACACAATTAGATATAATATCTTTCCTATCTTATATTGACCTATTCAAAGCTATAATAACACGTTATATCTCATCTAATAGCACGGACAGCAGTTAGCTCGTACCTCTCAGTGTTTGCAGCCTGGACGGAGGGCCCCTGCTGCAGCTGTACCAGGACCCCAGTGTGTGTGCCACTCTCTCTTTCGGTGTGTGTAGCAGAGTGTGTGTCTGTGAGCATGTCTGAATGTGTTTCTGTTTGTGCTAGTGAGAGTGGATCAGGGAGTGTGTGTTCAACAGAGTGTGTGTTTGACTGAGTGAGGGAGTGTGTGTGTAAGTGTGTCTGGTTGTAGTGCAAGTCCTCCAGCAGCAGATAGGGGGTGTCTTCTGGCAGTGCTACAGAGAGGACACACAAATGGAGGTTATTATTCAGATTATTAATACATTATTATTATTTAAATGTTCTTCTACATTTTGGAATGTTTGCTTCTTTCTTTAATTAATGTCATTATTTTTGACATTTTTGCTTTACTTGGCTGAATTCTACATCTTTCAATTAAATAGTGTCAAAGGTATAATGGAAAATATAAAAATATTTCCAGTAAAAATGTCCCTTGTATCAGAACAGGATATTTCAGTTATCATCGTTTTAATTTTTAATTTTCCTAAAGGTATTTACACTGAACAAAAATATAAACGCAACACTTTTGTTTTTGCTCCCATTTTTCATGAGATGAACTCAAAGATCTAAAACATTTTCTATATACACAACATAACCATTTCTCTCAAATATTGTTCACAAATCTGAAACAATCTGTGATAGTGAGCACTTCTCCTTTGCCGAGATAATCCATCCCACCTCACAGGTGTGGCATATCAAGATGCTGATTAGACAGCATGATTATTGCACAGGTGTGCCTTTGGCTGGCCACAATAAAAGGCCACTCTGAAACGTGCAGTTTTGCTTTATTGGGGGGGTCCGAAAACCAGTCAGTATCTGGTGTGACCACCATTTGCCTCACACAGTGCAACACATCTCCTTCGCATAGAGTTGATCAGGTTGTTGATTGTGGCCTGTGGAATGTTGGTCCACTCCTCTTCAATGGCTGTGCCAAGTTGCTGGATATTGGCAGGAACTGGAACACGCTGTCGTATACGCCGATCTAGAGCAACCCAAACATGCTCAATGGGTGACATGTCCGGTGAGTATGCTGGCCATGCAAGAACTGGGATGTTTTCAGCCTCCAGGAATTGTGTACAGATCCTTGCAACATGGGGCCGTGCATTATCATGCTGCAACATGAGGTGATGGTCGTGGATGAATGGCACAACAATGGGCCTCAGGATCTCGTCACGGTATCTCTGTGCATTCACAATGCCATCAATAAAATGCACCTGTGTTCGTCGTCCATACCATACGCCTGCCCATACCATAACCCCACCACCACCGTGGGCCACTCGATTCACAACATTGACATCAGAAAACCGCTCACCCACACGACGCCACACACGCTGTCTGCCATCTGCCCTGAACAGTGAAAACCGGGATTCAGCCGTGAAGAGAACACCTCTCCAACGTGCCAGACGCCATCGAATGTGAGCATTTGCCCACTCAAGTCGGTGACGACGACGAACCGGAGTCAGGTCGAGACCCCGATGAGGACGACGAGCATGCAGATGAGCTTCCCTGAGACGGTTTCTGACAGTTTGTGCAGAAATTCTTTGGTTATGCAAAGCGATTGTTGCAGCAGCTGTCCGAGTGGCTGCTCTCAGACGATCTTGGAGGTGAACATGCTGGATGTGGAGGTCCTGGGCTGGTGTGGTTACACGTGGTCTGCGGTTGTGAGGCCGGTTGGATGTACTGCCAAATTCTCTGAAACGCCTTTGGAGACGGCTTATGGTAGAGAAATGAACATTCAATTCACGGGCAACAGCTCTGGTGGACATTCCTGCTGTCAGCATGCCAATTGCACGCTCCCTCAAAACTTGCGACATCTGTGGCATTGTGCTGTGTGATAAAACTGAACATTTCAGAGTGGCCTTTTATTGTGGCCAGCCTAAGGTGCAATAATCATGCTGTCTAATCAGCATCTTGATATGCCACACCTGTGAGGTGGGATGGATTATCTCGGCAAAGGAGAAGTGCTCACCATCACAGATTGTTTCAGATTTGTGAACAATATTTGAGAGAAATGGTTATTTTGTGTATATAGAAAATGTTTTAGATCTTTGAGTTCATCTCATGAAAAATGGGAGCAAAAACAAAAGTGTTGCATTTATATTTTTGTTCAGTGTATATACTGGAGCTCAGTCTCTGCTTTGATTTCGGCCTTAATTAGACCTTTGTGGTCTAATTAAGGCTAAGCTGGCCCACAAGTATTCCTGTAATATATATATATATATATATAGAAGAAGCTTCATCAGTGTCTCCTACCAGGGAAAGGCAGCACCAGAGTGTTGTCATCTGCAGCGGCGGGCTCGTCAATTGAGTTGGAGGAACTTTCTAAGTGAACAGAAAAAAAGATCTGAGAAATAAATCAAACACATAGAGAACAATAATGTCCGACAGACAAAACAGATAGACTTCAATATGAACAGGTTACTGCTAGAGTACTCCATGGTAGGGATTTGTTTCTTAAAGCATGAGGGAGGCTAACTATACATTTCCAAATCGGTCAAAAATGTGCTCTCCATTTCTCTCTCTGTGTCATTGGCCAGGTGTGCATTAGAGCTAAAAGATACATTGGCCAGGATGGTAGTAGCCATATACGCTCGTCCTCATTTTGGCTCTTATGTCAACCAATAGGTATCGAGAGTAAGCAGTACACAGAATGAAACATAGTTTGTCCGCCAAAGAGTTTGCTTTGAACTCAACAATTAAAAAATAAACGCATGGTCACAAACATATCAAAAAAGTGTTTACAAAATAAAATCAAAATATGAATCTGGCCACGTTCAAGTGTGGAAGAAACTCCTTCAATACGTTTTTTACTTTACTTCTTATTTCTTATTTCTACAAATAAGTTTTATTTTTACTTTACTTCCAATTTCCCCAGGGATATAATTCAAGTATTCAGATTCTGATTGTCCCGTTCACAAGAACGGGACAATCAGACCTGGAAACATGAAGCCCCTGGCTGTTTGTGGCGCAATACAAAAATAAAAGGCTGAACTGAAGACAATGTGTGACTCACGGTATCCAGAGGGTCCTGGGGGTCCTGGCTCCTCCACATCATTATGCCTGAACACATGACTGGTGACATCAGCAGCTCTGTACAGCAGGATGGCAGCAGGAGGAGGGGGGCTGGGGGTCCTGATCTCCCACACTTCCTCCTCTTCCTGCAGCTGTACATCTGATTGGTGATTGACAGATGTTATGCTCCCTCTGCTGTGATTGGTCGCTATCATGTCCCTGTTCACCCCATTATAAGTTAGGTTCACATGTCCAGTAGTGATGATTTCCGCAGCGCTGATGTCATGAGGTGTGCGGGGGGTGGTATATTCAAAGGTGATGTGGGGGAGCTTCCCATTCAGGTTGTAGTACTTTGTGACCAGAGAGAAAAGCAAAAGGTAAAATACTTCATACTCATTCCTGCACGAGACACGCATGTTCTTGTGCAAGTGTGTATGTGTGTGTGTCCGTTCGTGTGTGTGTGTGCGTGTGTGTGTGTGTGTGTGAGTGAGTGGGTGTGTGTGTGTGTGTGTGTGTGGTGTGTGTATGGTTGTGTGTGTGTGTGGTGTGTGTTGTGAGTGGTGTGTGTGTCGTTGTGTGTGTGTTGGTGTGTGTATGTTATGTGTGTGTGTGTGTGGGGTGTGGGTTTGTGGTGTGTGTGTGTGTGGTGTGTGAGTGAGTGTGTGTGAGTGAGTGTGTGTGTGTGTGTGTGTGTGGGGTGTGTGTGTGTGTGTGTGTGTGTAGGTGTGTGTGTGAGTGGTGAGTGGGAGTGTGTGTGTGTGTGAGTTGATGTGATGGTGGTGCAGTGAGTGAGTGAGTGAGTGAGTGCGTGAGTGAGTGTGTGAGTGTGTGAGTGAGTGAGTGTGGTGGTGTGTGGGTGTGTGTGGTGTGAGTGTGTGTGTGTGTGTGTGTGTGTGTGTGTGTGTGTGGTAGTGTGTGTGTGTGTGTGTGTGTGTGTGTGTGTGTGTGTGTGTGTGTGTGTGTGTGTGTGTACCATAACATTGAGGCCCTGTAGTGTGGGTCCCTGGGAGATGATGTACTCCAGCCCATCAGAGAACACATTGCCTGGACGTCGGTATTTAAACACTGTTCCTGCCACGTGGAAGTTTTGTGGGTTGTCAAACACTGTGTTTCCGTTGAAGAAGAAATGACCAGCTTCATCTGACAGAGCTGGATAGAAGGGAATCAACAGTGCTATTCAGAACTGGGTCAGAACCCACAGACAATTATGTCATTTTCAAGAACTTGTTTTGGAAAGTCCTGTTAGGGTTATGGCTCGGGTTAGTGAAATCTGCAGTCAATGTTTAGCTAGCTAACCTTTAGCTAATATGCAACCATTGTTAACATTGTAAAAGCACATATATACTCAGTTTATTGACCTTAAAGAAGACGTGGGTTCTTACCAAGGATGTTCTCGGTCTTGTGTCTCTCTATGATCTGAATGTCTGAAGCTCCAGCTGGGATGTTGGTGATGAACACATAGCCTGATGAAAGAAACACCTTTACACACAGGCACCATTTTTCAGGTTATGAACTTATCATCCGGGAGCAGGGTAAAACACATTGTGTACCGAATAAAACAAGAGACAGACATATGGCTAAAATGTCCCAAACCCGTGTTTCTCTTGGGTCACAACCAGGATACCGAGATCTATAGCAGCTCCAGGGTCAGTTCTACTAAACCACAAAAACCTTCGTCTCCACTCACTAGTGGTATATCGCCATGCAGATACTTTAGTTTGTATACTGTGTGTTCATGTTTTTGAGGCTTTGGCTGGCTACCAAATAGGATGGAAACTTTATCATGTGTTTTTTATGTGGTCAGAGCATTACAAAAAACATGTTAAAAAAACACTGTTAATGAAGATAATCTAGCGTTTTGCTTTCTATATCAAAACAATACAAAAATAAAATGGTGTTTATCAATGTTAGAAACTGTTGTGAATGTACAAGACATTAGTTGTTGTTGTGATTTAAACCATAGTGCTAATAACATGAATGAAAATGGTGACTAGATATTTAACAACCAAACTTTAAAGAGATACACATGATATAATTAAACAATAACTGTGCAAATATCTCAATACAGTATTGTTGATGCAAAAGGGAGGGCTAAAATGAACATTCAATACATTTGATAAAGTTTGACATCTCTCTATATATTCATTGAGAACATACAAAATGAAATGACATCGATGTAATCCAAATGTACATATTGGCATTGACTGGCTGAATGTTTCTCTTGCACTTGTTCTACCCACTCCAAACAAAGCACCTTGGTGAGATACAGTCTGCAGTAAGAAGCTCTTCCCTTTAACAGCTTCATGCTTCCACAGGCTACGATTATGGAAATAACAAATGAAGCTACCTAACTATCGTGGAATCTGACCTGAATCATAGTCACAATGACACAGTCAGCTTACCTTAAGAATATATAGGATTAAAGGACTTGTGTTTCAGCAGACTGTGTCTTCAGTAGACTCTACTACTGTAATGGTGTCTTTACCAACAAACCGATCAGGAAGCTGCAGCTGATTCAGAACGCCGCTGCTCGAGTCCTCACTAACACTAAGAAAGTGGATCAGGCCAGTTCTGAAGTCTTTACACTGGCTTCCTGTGTGTCAAACACATCGAAATACTGGTTTATGAAGCACTGAGGAGTTTATTCTGATCTCCTGCCACATTATGAACCATTCAGAACGTTCAGGTCTTCTGGGACAGGTCTGTTGCTAATATGTAGAAGCAGTGTTTAGTTATTGTGCTCCATATTTCTGGAATGAATCCCAGAGAACTGCAGGTACACTGCAACTCTCACTTTTTTGTTTTAATCCAAGTTTAGGACTTTTCTGGTTGCTTCTGCCTTTTATTAGATCAAAGAATGATAAACATCTGCACATCTGTCTGCATGTGTGTTTGTGTGTGTGTTACCTAACTGTGTGAGTGCCTTCCTGTATGATCCAGAGATGCGCTGGCAGGACGTCCCGTTGCCTCCACACATTCCACACCTGTCTACTGTCCTACTGCTGTACAGCTCCCCATCACAACCCACAGCCTGGAGATAAACAACAACATTAACAACACTTTAGTGCTGCTAGTTCTTTAGAGGATTCACTCATCCAGCCAAGAATCATTTGCTATGATCAGTGTGAAGACTACATCCTTCATAGTAGTAATTCAGACAGAAAAATCTAATCCCATCTTTTCCATGTTGCGTTACCTGACATTTCCCCTCTATACAGACTCCGTGGTATTTGGTATCGCGGCAGAATGTACCATCATGTGCAGGAACTAGCAGCTGTCGCTCACCACTCATGGTGGTACACTGCAGGTCACATGGCTTATTGGAGATGCTGATGTAGTCAGCTACACAGGAAATGAAATATTACAAAATATATTGATTTGAGTGATATCACATTACAAAGAGACTAACAGATTGAAGTGTACCCGGGTAGAGAGGGATCCACTGGTAGTATCTTCTTCCAAAGGCTTTGGAATTGAATTGGGAACACTGGTGCTGTTTGAAGCTTACACTGGGGCTGGGACAGGGCTGAACACACAACAAAACACACATCAACATATAGAAAATACACCTGCAGCATAATGTTTGCTCTACAGTGAGTGTCTCAATAAAGAATGAATCTCTTGAGTATCGAAATCAGTGTAGCGCCATACCTGGTGTGGACAGAGTTGGTAGTGTTTAGGAGAGCCGACACAGTATGAACTGTTTATGTTCTGGGTGGTGGACAGCCTGAGGCAGAGACACAATGTCATGAACATGGACACACACAAGATGCATACAATATGAGAGTAAATCCAACACTGTTATCCCAGCATCATCAGAGGGGGATGATGGCCTAGTGTAGCAGGAGTATATAACAACTGCAGTTACTGTTCAATGGTTATTCCTTTCTAATCACACGCGGAAGAAGTGAAGAAAGAATGTTTCTGGAATGGTTTCTTCATTTATTTGTAGGATGAATGAAAGGGCCTTTTATGTTCATTTTCAGATTATATTTGTACTGCCTGTGCTGCAGCACCTCTTTTCGCCCTCTGTCTGAAACCAGAGCCCAGCATGATCTGATTGGTTAACTAGCCGGCTCTGTTGTGATTGGCCAACTGATTAAAGATGTCCAACCTACTAGCCTATAGTTACAATGTGTTGAAGTGCTAGCCAATACAATCGTGAGTGTTACATAGAGATGTTACTATGTTACAGAAGTAAACAAAGGAGTCCAATGGAGGCGTTTCAGGCAGGGGGGCAGACAAACTGCCTCTGGAGGGAACACAGGGATTTCAAACTGTGCAGACCATTTACATGCACAACACCTACGGGAGAGGGAACAGAGTCGGCGTGTTACGTTCTGAATGGTCAACGTTGGGTAAATGTCATTTGAGCTATCACTAATGTGATTCCATATGTATGTGTAGTGGTTGTACGTCAGAGCAAACATGACACACGATCAACATAAGCTGACTCTGAAGAACAGTAACAACTTGAATGTGTTTTTGATAGTAAAGGAGTCATGATCTTATTGTTCCCTTCATGCCAGATGAAGGGAACACATCCAAAGGGTCTCAGGACTTTCAAAATATAGCAACATTTCGCAACTTGTAACATGTCTAACGGTGCTGTAGTTTATAGTTAACATGAACAAGTAATGAAGGACAGATAGGGCCCAATGCATCTGTCTTCCATTACCCCCCACACACCTCCTCTGTCTATCTAGCTGTGTCTTTCTTTCTTCAGCCCATCCTCCTACGCTGTTTAGGCACTAAAGTAGGAGAGACTGCAGGAAGAGGTGAGCTGGAGGTCACTATGTGAGAGTGTCACATCTAATTGGTAGAAGGTGATGAGGGTAAGACAGGAGAGGAAGAGGAGGGAGAAAAAAGGCGAAAAGGGGAGGAAATGAACGACAAAGATGAGAAGAGTGTGAGAAAAAGAGGTGAAGAGGAAAGAAAAAGAGTAAAAAATAGAAGGAGTAGAAAGAGGGGCAAACGTGAGAGAAGGAGAAGAACAAAGAGGGGAGGAAGAAAGGGGGAGGAGGGGGAAGAAGGCCAGCAGTGAGGGCAGGGTGGCGTTAATCTTGGTTGACAGACATTTCCGCAAGTCTGACAGGGAGAGGTCAAAGGTAACAAGATGGCTACAAACACACATTCTATCAACGCTCTACCTAACTTCCCTCTGCCATGTCTCGACTCACTCTCCCCCATGTGTTATTGCTGTGTGCATTTCTTTACATATGTTTCCTCTGGATCTATACATACATTGTTTGTACAAGACATGACACATCATTAAACAGCCACATTAGCATCCAATGGGGCCCCATATATGTTCTGAAGGTTTGGGCTCTGATTTCCTGACAGCTGCCTAAACTCCATTGCAATACAAACCAGTGGTTGTCCACGTACGCTTGTTTGGTACTCTCCTGGCTCCAAACAAACCCACTTGTGCTCAGGTGTGGGGTTGGTGCAGTGTAGGGTCTGTTTATTCAAAAGCATGGTGTTATTTGTGCGCTTGTATATTTTGATCTGCTTCACTGGCGTTAGATGTGCTCTCAGAAATCACAAAATAATAACCCTATAAATATGTTGAGTTGGTCTTTTCCAGTTGGCTATACACAACGTTCTGCTTAAAACAAGCACATTTCAAAGTAGAGTTTGATACAGGCTGATTCTGATCAATGACCTCATGTAAAGGTTCTACAAAGGCTCAAATCCCTGTGTTTCTCTCCCACTCCCACTCCCCTGCCCCAAAACCATATCTGTATACCCTCATACAGTACACCCTTTTAATCGCTTGAATAAAACAAACACAGATAGTAAGAGAAGACAAATGTCGCCTTATAACAACAGTCATAAACTCAACATGAACTCTACAGCTGACAGTAAATATGAGCTGATATTGTATCTAGCACGATGCACAGCTTCTGGTCTGTTTGCTACTTTTGATGGGACTGAGTGAAAGGTTATAGAAGTGCAGCCCATCTCCACCTGTTACTTTATGCCTACTTCTTGTATTTCCTCCAAGCTGGGCCTGGTTTGAACTACCACAGGTGCTTGAACACACTGAGACGGTGCTGTTTGTTTAGCTTGCACGTAGTTTGGCCCTTAGTGCACACAACATAGATGTAATAATCCCTCTATAAAAGTGTGTATTCATTTTTTGGACATACTACCTCTGTATGAGACAGTGTCTATCCTGACTCCTCACTCCTCCTCCACAGCTCCTGGAACAGGAGGACCAACTGGACCACTCTCCCCACCACTGAAACACCTCCTCCTGCCACAAAATATACAAAACAGTGAGAAACAACAGTTACTGCCTGATGTTTGCATGCCTCCGCCAACCTGTCATGTTGCACTTTACATACATGTCTGTCCAAAAAGACGTTTTATCCTAATAGACATTTGGGAGAAATTGTGATAATTAACATATACATTATTAAGTTATGGCCAAAAAACGTTTTGTGAAGCGACATTCAACATTAAAATCAGATTCCAACCCGTCGTTAAGTCCGAGTGGATGTGTGCAACACATTTGAAGAAATTCCCTTCAGGAATTCAGTGTCACTGGATTGCATGAAGCACCCAGCCGGTGTTATTAAAGACCAGCACATCTCCACTCTCATTCTGTGTCACAATGATGAGCACTGAGGAAGCAATCCCCTGCTTTCAAGACAACATTTGAAAGCAGGGGATTGCTGGGAAGCTTGGTAAACAAACAAATTGTAGATTTGTCTAAAGAAAGAATTCAACATTCTCCCACCATTGACAAAGTGGATGATGACAACATTGGTCATTTTGAAACCAAAGCACAGTCTATGGAGCAGTGGATACCAGGGTCGGGGTCGAGCGGTTTTCTTTGCTTTTTGTTGTTGGAACAGAATGAAATGACTGGATGTGCTTAAGTGTCAGCCATGATAGAAGCTGTTTGAATTCCTAGATGATAGGAAGTACCACATTTACCAAAGGGAAGGAGGTAATGCTGTACGACAGTACCGCAGCCCCAACATTTAAAGTGACTCACAAAGTGACAAACACATCATGGAAGTTACGCTGCTTCTCATGCCAGATTCCAGAGTATTTATGTTTTGGAACTTTCAACAATATATTAAACCAAAAGTGGAAATATGAACGTCATGCCAATTACTGTCAAATGGTCGATGAAGTCAACATGTCACTGTTTACTGACTTGGATGGGTTTATTTCCACATGTTAGAATGGCGATATGCACAGCACACACAGTTATCCATATATTGGTTTAATATGATTTATTTAAATCATTTCATACAATCATTCTACGAGGGGAAAGGAGGGTGAGTAACCATATCCTTTAACTTTCCATTTATTATTTAATGTCAAACTTTGGTAATTAAGTGATATATATTTCACTGTTTTAGACTTTTATAAGAAACGACACAATTAGAATGCACAGGGCAAAGTATCCAGATGCGCGATTAGTAGTCCATCAGAGGAGAAATGATATTTCACCACGGCAGATGCATTTCAATAACATCAGCTAGCGCTGATCATTATTACGTCTCCCAATGTCCGTGCAGTCTCTTTTCCTAAGTCCTGATGAATCCCCTCACATCTTCCCTTAGCCCTAACATGGTTTTCACAGAGGTTTAGGAAAAGACAAAGCGTCTGAGTATCACACATCAGATCAGACAACCAAAGCAAATGTGTGGGAGCAGAATGTGAATTGAGAGAAGTTCTATCGGCTTTTAACCGGATATAAAGTCATTACTTCAGTCTGTAGTGACATGGAGCTTCAACACGCCGCATCACATCATGGGAAAGAATCATTCACAACTCAGAAAGGTGCTGAACTTCATCAACAGAGTGTGGATGGTGAAAGGCTGTAAACTCATGTGGGAAGTGGAAGCCTTGTGGAATGACAGTCCAATAACAAAAACACGAGCAGGACAAGAGAAGCATTGTCACAGAGGGATCCTGGTGTATGGGCTATATGCAGTGTGTTAAGTTACAGGTATGTCAATATTGCTGTTACTACGTCACCTGTGCACCCCGGGTAATCCCAGTGGTCACATTGCGTAGTTTACATGGAGTAGGTGAGCAGCTGGGGGGAATTAGGAACATGGATGTTTTTTACCGGCTGGGTATGTGCATCTGTGTGCCGATTATTGGTTGTACGATATTTTGACAAGCTTGTTTCTTTGTATCCATTCAGTGCATCAAGTTGTGTATATTAGTCAGTCTAAATGGCCTCACATTATAGTCACACAAACTTGACATCACACCTTTCTTAGAAGAGGAAGCAGATTTGTTGTGAGTGCGTGAGTGTTATTACCTTGTTGCCCGTCTGTTTGACATGCTGACTTCCAGAGCTGTGTGACTGCAGATGGATGTTACGTTGCTCCACCCTCCCTTCACTTCTGTCCTGGCAGACACACAACACATACACACACACGCATATACATGATCATAGAACATACATACCCTGCAGTTGTTTTACCTGTTGTCCTTTTCATGTCAGTTCAGCCGTAACACATTCTACGTGGGCCAAATTACGGAAAGCTAAAGCTGCGGTTTGATAGAACCATTCATTTTCAACACGGTGAGAAGAAGAAACGTTCACTTGTGATAATCTCATGAATCAATAGCATAGGCCTCCTCTTTCTTCTACTTTTCTTACAGAAATGTGAAAGACAGACCTGGCCAATCAATATCACTGAATTTAGTAAGGTTGTTGATCACAGACACACATGTATTATTCCTTTTAACCATTTCCCCCTAGAGTTCAATACTTACTAGTATCTTACTATTTAGTTCATTTACAAAGTTTGGAACAGATAATAGACTAAATCAAATCAAATATGCAGGTTTCTTTGGCCTATGGATACATATGTATACTGCTCAGTGAGAACATTATGAATTAAGAATATAGAATATTATATTTGCAATAATAAAGGCAGGCTTGGAGAGTAACGGATCACATGTAACAGAATTATGCAAACGACTAAAAAAAAAAGGTAACTGTATTCTCTTACAGCTACATTCAAAATGTATAATCAGATTACTGGCACATTTTAAAAAAAGATGAGGATAACTATTATTATAGGTATAGTATCTGAATTTAGTTTTTGGTTTCATTTTGACTTTCATTCTTCTTTATTTTAAAAACCTTTATTTAAATACAGAAGGTAAACAGCTGATGTATCAACTAAAATACTGAATTTGACTTTAATTTCATCTGAACACTTTTGATCCTAAATATCTTGGTTTCTCCTTTTCTAAGGACACGTTGATCTGTTGTCTCACATAATACACTCAAGAAAGAAACATCTTATTGATATTTATTTTCTGTTGTATTTATTTGCATTTCAACTTGATTAACGTAAAGTAATCAGGTTACATTACTTTAATATGTTGATACTCGGATTAGGTTACTGATAAAAGAATGTTTCAAGGTAACTATATAGGAACAAAATGAGTAACCCTTTCGACCCTTCACAAAGGTTAGGCTCTGTACAACTATCTGTATACCCAGGGTCAAATGTCCTTTGTAAAATGAGTGCTAATGGTCAATTCTCAATTGAGCAAGTATTGATTTGGTTTGCTGTGTATCAGAAGGATGTGACACATTCCAAGTCCAGTCTCAGTAACACACACACACACACACACACACACACACACACACACACACACACACACACACACACACACACACACACACACACACACACACACACACACACTCAATCCCACTACTGTGTTGTCTAAACAGGGCCCTAAACAAGCCCTCACAGGCTCCTTCTTACCCTCTGGCCAATTCAACATAGAAACACACAAATGAAGCATTTTGGAGCTAAATACACAGTAATAGTTGCTCACTATTACTATTATGGCGATAAAAGTGTCTGACGTGGAAAAAATACACAACTTAATGTTTGGTAGGATGACACAGACGCATTCTAATGTTTCAGTGACTTCATTAGGTGCTACATATTCCAAGTGTAGAGAGTTTTTTCAATTGAAAACATCTTTGTAAAAAAGATGTACAAAGAGCATGGTTAACATCTTCCTGAGCAAGGTTTTGGGTGTTGAGATCGATTTAAGATGTGGGGAAGTAGAATGGCTCAAAACACTCTTATATGATACTAACCTTTAATCAGTGGGTAAAGTTAATAATTAGATGTACTCAAGTACTGTACTTAAGTGCGAGTTTGAGGAACTTGTACTTGAGTATTTCATTTGTCAACATCACTGAAAAAAGAATTCAGTTACAACATTTACAAGCTACCCTGCAGTATACAACGTAATTCAAACTAGATGCACCTTTACCAAGACATTAATGCATTAATAATTATAATCAAAACATATGACATATATTATTCTGAAATAATAATAATAACTAGAAAATGCATTTCCTGCAGAAAATGCGTGTGAATGCTGTAAAGTGTGAACATTTGTGGCTGAATTTAGCTGAAACTGCAGAAAAAGCTGAATGTGTTATTAGCTGAATGGTAGCTGCTTTTAGCTACAGAGACCAAGTAAGTGTGTTGCTGAACTTAGCAGAGAAATGCAGAAAAGTGAAATGATTTGAATCAAATTGTTACAGCTCAAATGCATTGAAATGACTTTGTTGAATACTTGAAAGTGAAATGTTAAACTGGAAAAGTAGGAAAAACAGTGAAGAAGCTTAATATTAGAAAAGTTTAAAAAAGGTATAAACAACAACATGTATAGCCTCAATGATATAATGTAATAGTTTAATGGTTTCTGTATCTGAAAGTAGGCTGAAGGAGTTAGATATTAAATGTAAGTAGTAGTGAATGAATATTTACAAACACCTGTGTGTGTAAGCCATAGGTGTAAGCCCAGAGATCAAAGGTTACCACGGTGACGACGTTATCAAACATTTGTGTACTTGAGCCCAGAGATCAAAGGTTTCCATGGAGATGTGCTGTGAAAGGAGAGCCTTCCCATTGTTCTAAATGAGAAATAAACCTCTTACATTTCCAACTATAGTTTAAAAACGGTAGCTGCTTTTGGTAAAATGTCAACGCGTGGAGAATGTCAGGACCGTGAGGAGCGTCAGAATCTGCTTTTTGTGTACTTTCGGTCCATAATGTGACATTTTTGGCAGATTTACTAAAGGTGTGCAGCTGCTGCTCTGAGGACAGATCAGGCTTGATTTACAATGGGCCTTAATGGAGACATGTTGAACGTTGTTGTCACTTCATGCCCTCAGGAGGCACTTTGTTTAATTTCTTTCTTAATTTTTATTTATTTTTCAACGTAGGAGAGGTTTTCCTACGTTTTTCACAACAAATGATGTCCAAGGAGTGTAGGGTTTGGTAAGGTGAATTTCAAGCTCTCCTCCACTCTAGCTGTGACATCACGCACTCTAAGCCTTAACGAGCTGCGCAGTACACACTCATGTTAACATCTGAAGAAGGCCTCTTTACCAAGCTCCAAACTAAGTTAAATATCTCAAAAAGTGTAAAAAATATGAAAAATCTGAAGAACAGGTTTTATAGCTGAAGGTCTTGTGATCGTTTTAAAGTTGGAATGAGGTAGCAGTTGGCGCACGGTCTAGGCAAAGGAGGATTTTAAGGTTCCTCCCATTGAGTTACATATTAAAAAAGTATAACATATTTTGAAAAAGTTGAAAGTTTCCCATTATGTGTTGAAAAGGCTGAATAGTTTGATATTTGAATGGTTTCTGTAGCTGAAAGTACGCTGAAGTTATTGAGAGCCAAACTATTTGGTGAAATAATAATAATTAAAACTGCGGTCGCACTTGTGCGCGCAGTGATGAGCGGGCCCTCGCGTCCGTGCGCCTGTCGGGGAGGGCGGCAGGTCGTCCCGGCGTCAAGCAGACGTGCGCGAGTCCTGGGAAATGAGCCGTTTGTCATTTCTCTAATTTTCGCGTCCCAGACTCCCAGGTGCTCCGGCAGCGACCCGGAAACGGATGTCGAAGGAAAACAAATTTCTCTAAAGGGTCGTCGAGGATCGATTATCGAGGAGGCTGTCTGGAGGAGCCGTAACCGAGGATACACTGATTTAGAGGAGAGAGGAGTGTCTCTGGAGGAGCTATAACCGAGGGTACACTGAAGTATTCTCCTGAGACGATTTCAGCCAACAGTGATGTTTAAAAGAGGCGTGACGCATGGCTGGACTTCAAACGAAGCACAGCTCTGCAAACTGTTCCCGTTGTGATTATAAGTTATTTGAGATGATCAAATGTGCATCAGACTTTCTGCCCTTTACCGTTTGTTTACTCACTAATCACATGTCCCCTGGATGTTAGGTGATGTTACAGTGAGAACAGCTGCTGAGGGCAGTGCAGAAAGCAGAACAGTGTGTATAATATATATCGCTCAATAACAAATGTAACAGGCCTACATGTCACACTTTATTTGTAGGCTTTAGGAGATATCTACAAATAAACATTAGGGTTAGGGTTAGGGTTAGGGTTAGCGAGGGTGTGTGTGTGTGTGTGTGTGTGTGTGTGTGTGTGTGTGTGTGTGTGTGTGTGTGTGTGTGTGAGAGTTGATGTGCCAGGCAGACAGGCAGGGCTCAGTAGCTTATCTGACATATAATGGGTCAAAAATGGTACATTCTCCGTTAGCCTACGAGCTCCCCGTTTGAGCGAAAGACTATTCCTTCTCAATGTAGCATGACATTGGATATGCGCTGAAGTTGTCCTGGATTGGAATTGTTCCGATCATTCCCCTAGGAGGAGTTGGCAAGAACGTGCGTAAAATGGCTGAAAACCGCACATTTTTCAAAATGGCCGACTTTCTGGGGGGCGGGGCTAATGGAAGGCAATTTGAAATATGTGTGCAATCATAATAGCAATATGTATACAGCGTTTCGTGATTATCGGAATAACTATATCCGAGTAGTTTGGAGTAATTTGCGCCATGTAAATGGTCAGAAATGGTGTATTCGCTGTTAGCTTACGACCTCCACGAGTAATTTTTCAAAAATGTTCTTCTCAATTAAGTATCATATTGGATAGGGGCTGAACCTGTCCTGCATTGGAATTTTTCCGATCATTCCTCTAGGAGGAGTTGGTAAGAACGTGCGTAAAATGGCTGAAAACCGCACATTTTTCAAAATGGCCGACTTTCTGGGGGGCGGGGCTAATGGAAGGCAATTTGAAATATGTGTGCAATCATATTAGCAATATGTATACAGCGTTTCGTGAATATCGGAATAACTATATCCGAGTAGTTTGGAGTAATTTGCGCCATGTAAATGGTCAAAAATTGTGTATTCGCTGTTAGCTTACGACCTCCACGAGTAATTTTTCAAAAATGTGCTCCTGAATTAAGTATCCTATTGGATAGGGGCTAAACGTGTCCTGCATTGGAATTTTTCTGATCATTCCCCTAGGAGGAGTTTGCAAGAACGTGCGTAAAATGGCTG